AGGGAAAGAACTATTTTACTTCTTTTCTTACAGGCTAAATAAGAGAGGCTACAATTGCAGCAAGTACTGCATCTCTCCAATTTAAAGTTCTTATCCTACACTGAACCTCAAAATTATCTCCAGGCTTTGGAGAATGGTCTCGGTTGTTTGGTCTGTCAGTCAAATCCTTCTCAGCAACTGTCCCCCTTCTTACTCCCTGAATAGAACAGTTAGGATAAAAGAATGTGCTTTGATTTTTGCATAGCTTCATTTCCCTGTTTTTAGCTATAGAATTTTGCTGTCCTTTTAAACAGAGTGGATAAATTTCAATGCTTATTACACTGAGATTTTAAAAAAATTCTTATTTATAGTCACTCCCTATAATTAATACATTGGTTTTATTCTAGCAATAAAAGTCATGAAGGGGATAAGTTCATTGCAGCTCCACCTTCTTCACCTTTGAAGAAACAGGAATTAGAAAATTTAAGGTAAGTAAATAATATAAAATATTCACCACCAAATGAGCCCCCTCTTAAATTGTGCTGTGATTCTGGGGTCATTATTAGCTTTTTTTTTTAGACATTTACAACATTGAATTGTAACTGTTAATCTAAGGATGCCTTTTTTTCAAATGCATGTGCTTCCTTTTCTCTGTGCTTTGAGTCTGAACAAATAGAAACCATCCAGAATTTCAACTTGGAAGGTAGAGTGCTCTGTTTGATCTCACTGTTACAGGCTTAGCATTATACATTGAGAAAAAAAAAAAAAAAAATTAAGTCTCATAAATGGCAAAGCTAAAAAACTTGCAGTGATTATTGTGATGGGTGGAAGGGGTGGAAATTGCTGTATGGTGCCTTTTCCCTTCAAGGCCTTGATAAGGCTAGTTGGGAACTTGGGCCCCACAACATGATGTGCTTTTTGGATGGGAAAAAAAATATGAAAGTGATAAAAGTAGCTATGCTGGTTTCGAATGGGAACTGGGCTCCTTTCAGCAGAAGTAAACCCATAATTTGCATAAAATAGGATGAAAAATTGCAATTGATTTCCTCACTGTGGAAGAACATAGGTAAAAATTGACTTTAGACTTCTTTTGTGTTTGCAAAGATCCTTGAACTTGCTTAGCACTCTGAGTGTGCTCCAAACAGAATGACTCCCATGTGTCTAAATAAGTTTCATGTTATCTGAAGCCCCTTTATTTTTCCCCAACAAGATTATAATTTGCTGGCGATGTTAATTATTTCAGGTGGCTGCCAGCCCCTTGAAAATCTCTCTTACTGTGAAGCTTGCACCTGCTAAGATAAAATAAATCCGTTTTAAGTTTCCGTTATAGACAAAGCATACAGTAATTTCCCACTTAAACTCTTGGGTAAACACTCTATTCCAACCTAACCCCAGGTAACCTATATTTTATAATGACCAGCTTAACCTTTACTTTGCTCCACTATGTGTAGCAAATCTACTTGTATTCATTTAAAAGCATTTAGCAGGAATCTGTGAGGAGACATTACTGAGACCTTGATTATTTATTCTGAAGTGGTACCAAAGTTCTACTGGAAATAGAAAGCAGTGGATTAAAACACTTATATGGGTTGGTTGTGGTTGTTCTGGGTTTTTTGCCTTCAGATTGTTGAAAATGTGGTTGCTACATGTCAAAATTTCGTGGTGTCACATTGTGATTTTTATTTATTTTTTTTAAGACATAGTCTTTTCATTCACAATCAGGTGTTATCTACTGATGAAACCTGGCAACACATCAGGAAAAACTTGCCAGTTTAGCAAGAATGACACTGCTTCTGGTAAAGAACATCATATTAGTAAAGGAAAATAATTTATTTATATTTTTTTTGCACTGCTTGCTTTGGTGGTTAAATCTAGAGGACGAGACAGCACTAGAGTGATTCTGTTAAAACTGTCTCTAGGTTTCTGCAGATACCTGTGCAAAGCAAAATACATTGCACTCAAATGTTAGTATGTTTCTGTAGTCTTGCTCACTAACCTATGTGAGAGAATTAAAATTCTTGTCTAATCAGGGAAAAGTAAGAGAATACTGAATGTTGGCAAGGATTATCCTGAGGAACAGTTATCAAATAAATTTAAGTTTTCCCTGTTAAGTAACTGGACTAAAAAACCTTTATTGCTTCTAGAACTGAAATGGGGAACTTACATGTTTTTTTATGTGCCACTTTGTATAGTTGCACACCCAAACAAGATTTTTAAATGACTAGCTGACTTTATTGTTTGTAAAAATTAAAAATACCATGTAGAAAAGGCTTATGTGCTGTATGTATTGTTTGGTACTTTTGCACAAATCAGCTGAACGGACTGTTCTCGTAGTAAGGAGTAACTCAATTGCAAGGTTTCAAAAGCAACAGGCGGAGGAGTCTGAGGACACCAAACATTGTGAAGGGCTTGTGCATAGGAAGTAGGGACTTTAGATCTTTCTTCCAAGTTTCTTCTAAACAATTCTACTCCTTTCTTCTTCTCATCCTCTGAGAAGCCAATTCCCCTGCTCTGCTCTTTACCTGTGGTACGTTTCACTGCATCAGAACAACCCAACACTGCTAGGGTATGTCAAGAGTAAAGGAGTTCTGGTAGACCACAGTGCTGCATTTGGAAAATGTTGTGGATTTTATTGTAAAAGCTGAGATGGATAGCACCAGACCTTGTTGTAGCCTTTTTCTCCCTAGATTGAACAACTTTGTGTGAAAATGTTAATCTTCCCCTGCAAAGCAGCATCAGATAAAGGAACAGTTTGAACTGCTTTGTCTTGAATAGATTTGGATTGCTAGAAGACATGTGATCCAATTTTGCCGTATTTTCTTTCTTTTGACTTTCCATTGGCCCCATCTGGTCCATCATTATGCTTTATTTTATTTACTTAATTATTTTTGAAGTGTGTGTATTGTAGTATTTCCAAGAGCATCACCGACCCTGCTAATAAATTCACAGGTAATACTTTAAGGACCACTACTGCCCACCAATATACCTTGTCTCTTTTCCATACCTACTTAGTATTGCCTCATTTATACATGTAAAGATTGCAGTGGTCTGTTTGACCCTGTCACAATACTGCAAACTTAAAATTATTATCACTTGTGACTGTTCCACTCTTCTTCCTCACTGTCAGTCACTGCATTGTTCTCCTGTATCTCCCCTTTGCTGCTGCTGAATTTTCCCACTGAGGGAGCACAATCTGCAGTCTGTTTTTCTTAATAGTTGGGATTGTTTTGTCTGCATTGGAACATAAACGGTAGACAGCTTGTTTTGTGCTTAGTTAGCTATTTTAAATTATTTCAGATTGGTTCTCTAAATGGTTTAGAAGCACTGGTTTTGGTGCCTTGATAGTAAGTTTTGAACAACTGGATTTGCTCTGGCTCACCCTTTGCCTGAGGAATAAGCCAAGTCAGATGTGGAGTTTGTGATCTGTAAACTTGCAGTCAGTGTGGGCTGACAAATCCTGTTGCCTAGACCTACACAACAGGCTGTTTGACATAATCTGGCAGTTAAAAAAACATTTTTCTTTTTCCTAGTGCAAAGGCAGTTTTATTCAGGGCGTGCAGAGGCTCAGTGATGCTGGAAGTCTGCGGTGCTCAAAGGCGACCTGTGGAGTTTTGTCAGAATCCTGACCGGGGTGAAAAACTAGTTTGTCTTTTCCCTTGTGGTGCAATTCTTCTGCTCCGATTAGCTGTCAGGTCTCCTGAGTGTTTGGTTTAGCCGGCTCAACAATGGATCCGAGTGGGCAAGAACAGTCCTGCCAGGGAGAAAGTATTTTCCTCTTCTCTAGATGGCTCTTGCTGAAGAATCTTGCCAGCTCTTACGTGACTCAGCACTGACTAGACCTTAGGGCAGAGGAGTATGTTTCAGTTGTGCTGGACTTACCTTTTGCATCACTGGAGTGTGTATTATGTTTGAATTTACACTTTGAGAAATAAAAATAAGCTTTGAAAAGTGGGAGAAATAGAAGGTGCAGTGATGAAAAGGGCAGCACCAACCAACTCTGCAGCCTTGACTTGTGTCTAAGGGTGTTTAGCTGGCGACATGTAGCATCTCTGCTGGTTTTAAAAGCTGTGCTTCCTTGAGGCAGAGACAAAAAGAGGCTAGTTAGAAGCAGGCTGTTATTACAAAGACTTTCTTCTCCATTCCCTCCCCTTCCCCAGTTGCAACCTTTCAGAAATATTTTAGGTTTGGGACTTGAGCTGGGGAAGCTTTCCTCTCCCTCTCTCAGGCTTTTGTATGTGTTCAGATTTGATGTGACATCTGGGCACAGTGGAGAGGAAGTGGGGGGTAGGGAGAAACACTGGAGAAGTTGCTTATCCTCCTTGTGCATAATTAAGGAGCATGCCTCCTGGGAAAGGGGAATAAAGGCACCCCAGGTCCTGCCACAAATTACATGACTTAGTGCTGGACCAAAAGTGGGCTTGACAGTTGCCAGAAGGTTGGCGTGGTAATAGCCCACCAGCCAGCAGGAGAGCCAAGGGCTCTTCTCCCATCACTCCTAACATGAGACCCTGCTAACAGGATCCATTCTTCCTCCCTGGAGGACTGAGTCCATGCTTACAACAAGGCATTACAGCCTATGGTGAGCAGAGGCTTGAGGACAAGGCAGCCTGTTCTGATTGATGTCTTACGAAGTGGGAAGTATCCCAAAGTGTTGTGTCTGGGGACATGGGGGTTGGAGTTATTACAAAGTGTGAAGCTTGGCCTAATGATGGCATCCTGGCGTGGGGTTATTGTTTGAAGGTGGAAAATGCAAGTAGTTCAGATTGCATTGCAGGAGCTGTCACAGATTCTGTGGGTTTGGAAGGATAAGAAAGTCAGTGGTGGCAACAAAATGCCACGTATCAGTCAGAGTCCCAGCAGCAGGTTACAGCTCTCAGTTGAACACAAAGCTGGAAACGCCAAATTCTCCAGTGTTTACCGTCACCCTGTGTGCAAACATTGTACAATACAAGTGTGAATATGTTACAACCTAATCGATCGCTACAATGTGTCAGGAGATTGTGCATCTTAAAGCTGCATTTGGGATCACAGAATTTTTCATTTAACATAATAGTTTTGTCCCTCTCCCCCCCCACTTTTTTTTTTTTTTAAATATATTTTTTTTCTTTTTCCTTCCAGGTGCTCAATACTTGCCTGTAGTGCTTACGTGGCTCTGGCTTTGGGTGATAACCTCATGGCATTGAATCACGCAGATAAACTTCTTCAGCAACCAAAGCTGTCAGGGTCTCTTAAGTAAGTCTGATATGGCCATTTATTTCTCAGTCCTGCTTTTTGCTGAAGAGTTGTGAGTTGAAGCTTCCAGTGTCTGTAGCTGCTTGCCAGTTCTGTATCAAAGAATTGCTTGGCATGCTCCTGTTCTTGTTGAAGCACTGACTAAATGTTCATTGACAGACAGGAACGTGAGTCCCCTCCTTTGCGTATGAATCCCATGTAATCTGGAATCTTATGTCTGCTCTTGTTGGTATTTGTTAATCTCCAGACATGGGTGTTGCGCAGTGACAGGACTGTCAGGTCTCTGTCCTGTTTCACTGTGGGGCTGCACGTGCTGGTGTTGGCACAGTACAGGGGCCAGGAATGCTGAAACTATAGCCTCTGAGGGGAAGGTTTGCTTGGTCAGTAGGGTACCAGATCTTGGATGTGCAGGGCTGTCACTTCACCTGCTGCTGTTGTTTATATAGGTTCTATTCCTCAGTTTCTCTTTTTCAGTTCTCATTTGGCATTGTATTTTTTTGGCAAAATGTTCAAAGCTCATTCTGTTTCTATGCATCAGTTCTCATACATCACTGCAAATTCAAAAAAGGCAACTTTTGCCTCATCCTTCTGACCTTGTTTGTGCATTTAATCCCTGTGGTATAAACAGGATAAAATACAGCAGAGGTCTTTATGGTAGTATTTTTTTCAAGACTGGTAAGGTAGTTGTGGAAAGCAAGCTAACTTGTGCTTATTTTTATATGCTGGCAGCATACACTAAAATGGTTCATGCCAATTAAAATTCTTTGGCTCCCATGCTTCAGAGTACTGCAGAAGCTCATCTTTTTGCACAGTCATTGTATATGCAAGAATTTAGAGGAGTTTGTAAGGTAATACATAATTTTGTAGAAGGCAGTGTGACTATTATGTAGTGCAAGAAATGTTAGATCAGTTTTTTTCAAAGACGAAGAACATGTATCTTGGTCTCAGGAAACTAGGCTTTTGTGCAGATTGGGAATATTGAACTGCTCTGTTTTCTTAAGAAAGTTCCTTAAGAAAATAAATTGCATGTATACAGTTATGTTTACTGTATCAGATCTAAATTACATAAATGATTTTGGATAACTGTATTTACCTGATGTTTTGTAATTCATTACAACTAACTATACAGTCAGTCTGAAGTGTACTGTATACAGCTGCATGGAACAAGCATGAACTTTTTTGCTCAGTTTTTGTTTGATTAAGTATTTGCAGACCAACCACTCTCGTTTGACACAATTCTTTCTATTCCAAAGTTGAAAAGGAAAGCTTCTGATTGCCTCAGCTGAACTACAAGTGTGAAACATCAGACTTGCTTAATCCTTTTGCAAAACCTGCAGTTGGAAAGGTGTTTGTACCCCAGGGACAGGCCTGTATAGTTGATGTTCTGAAAAATGCAGCTACCTTACATAATTAGTTTGATTTTTATTGAATGTAAAGTCACTTAACACCTCAAATTATAGATGTATCCATCTGTGGATGGATAATGTGGGCATTGTTACACTGACATTTGTGCCTAACCCTTTGCTGTTGTAGATTTCTTGGGCATTTGTATGCAGCAGAAGCTCTCATCTCTCTAGACAGAATATCTGATGCCATCACTCACTTGAACCCTGAGAACGTCACTGATGTTTCCCTTGGGATCTCTTCCAATGAGCAGGATCAAGGTTAATTAATCCACACTTCTTTAGAACTCGTTATGCTTTCAGCTGCCTTCCTGCTGTAACTTTCTATATACAAATATAATGGTGATTAAGACATTTTGTTTTAAGACCATAGGTCATTTGGGGTTTTTTGTTTGTGCTTTTGTTGTTGTGCTTTTGTTTTCCTGGCTTTGGTTCCTACTTTGTCTTTGGTTTGCCTTTTGCATGTTTGTCATTCCTTTGAAATGGCTAATTCTGTCACAGAAATACAACTGCATATTATAACATTCTGGTTTGTCTGAAGGCAACTTTTGAAAGCTGCTTTTGTTAAATGTGCAATTGTGGTTAAATTTGGGCTTCATACCTTCCCTTCCAGCTTTTTAGTCTCTAAACCAGGGTTCGGTGTACCAGTATAGTCTATTTATTGCATTTAGTGAGAGAGGAGTAGGGAGAACTTAGTTAATCTGCATCTTAGGCTTCTTGCAGTGCTTCCACTTGGGAGTGTGTGTTCTGTACACATCTGCAGATGTAGAAGCAAAACATTAAAGACAGGAAATCTTAAATGGCATAATCTCTGGAGCAAACTGATACGTTTTCCTTCTTTAATGTCAGACCATGAAGAAAGAAGCAAATGTGTATCTTTGTTATTTTTGTAATAAGCTTTAAAAAAGCTCATGGAACATTTTTGTGGGGTTTTCTTCTCTGTAGGGTCTGACAAAGGAGAGAATGAAGCGATGGAATCTTGTAAGTACCAACCACTGTATTCGGTAGAGTGCAGATACTTCTTTGGCCAGTTCAGAACAAAAGTGTAAGGGAAAAAAGAATGTTTGTATTTTTTTCCTTTATTGCAGCTGGCAAGCAGACCCCCCAGTGTTACCCCAGTTCGGTCACATCGGCGCGAACAATGATGTTGTTTAACCTTGGAAGTGCTTACTGTCTGAGGAGTGAATATGACAAAGCTCGCAAGTGTCTTCATCAGGTATGAGAAACAAATCTTAAGACAGCTTTAGGCTCAAATGTCCTGCCTTCCAAGTGCCTTTCAGATCACAGCAAATCCTGGTGATTTCATAGCTTGGGTTGACTTGCAGACTTTGCTGAGATGAGGCTCTCTTCTGTCTTTATGAACCAATCTATATTAGTAACATAAAGGATTACGAAGTTCTTACTTGTGTAAACTAGTTCAGTACCACTCTGGGAAGCTTTTTTTTTTTTTTCTCTAAATTTTGTCAAAACAATGGAATGTTACTAGGAAGCCTTTTCACTCTTTCTAAGTTTTGGGCTTTATTTTTAATGGTCCAACAGTAGTTGTTAAATCTGAGGAGAAAGTTCTTGGAGGCCTTGAGTTTACTTAGAATCATAGAATCACAGAATATTAGGGGTTAGAAGGGACCTCTGGAGATCACCTAGTCCAACCTCCCTGCCAGAGCAGGTTTACCTAGGGCAGGCCACACAGGAACACATTCAGATGAATTTTGAAAGTCTCCAGAGAAGCAGACTCTACAACCTCTCTGGACAGCCTGTTCCAGTGCTCCATCACCCTCACAGTAAAGAAGTTTCTCCTCATGTTGAGGTGGAACTTCCTATGTTCTAGCTTATATCCACTGTTCTTTTCCTATTACTGGGCACCACCAAAAGGAGACTGGCCCCTGTCTGTCAGGAAGACTACTCAAATGCATTGTTGAGCTGGAGACTGAAACAGCAGTCTTCCAAATTTCTACTTAGTAGTTGTGCAGGTGAACAGGTTCAAAATTTGTGAAGTTTTCAACAGCTTAAGGCAGTTGTCTTGTTCTTTTTCCTCCCAAGGCTTCCTAGGTTTTGGTAGGAGTCTGTGCTTGAGCTCTGTAGCACGTGTATAAAGTCCAAAGGAGTGCAAGGCCATCTGTGGATATGAAGTGCAGTAGGTCTGTGTGTTTGCAACAAGTTAATTGACTTCATAGCTGAAAAATATTTGTATATGGAAAGCTCATGAACAATCCTTGTTAACTTTATATTCTGAACTTTGGAGCAGTGGATGTTACCTTCTTCACCTGTCACCTCACCATTAAATCACAGTAGATTGGAATTACAGACACTTATGTTAATAAGTATACAGCAGATGGTGCTGCTAATTAGTGTGAAACAATCCTGCAAGGCAGATAATCTTTCAGTCTCTCCTTGCATGCATAAACCTGAGTGTATTAGTTTGAAAAATCTAATCTTAGCTTACAAATTGTTTTTTGGTTTTGTTAGCTAAGATTATGGTACCAGTCTTGTCAAGGGATGCTTGCTTTGAGCAAGCTCTTAAGCACTTTATCTCTCCAATCTCCTCTTCTTTTTCAATAAGGCTGCTTCACTGATCCACCCCAAAGAGATCCCTCCAGAGGCTATTCTGCTGGCTGTATATCTTGAATTACAAAACGGTAAGGAATTGACTTAATTTTTGTTGCCAGCAGTAAAACCCTTAATTTTACATGTAAGCTGCAATGTTGACTGTAACTTGCCATTTTTAACACTTTTTTTTCCTTGACACTTACAGCTAACCCCCATAGGCAAATACTAGAACAAGTTCTTAAGTTTGGAAATGTTTTGTCCACCTAGATTTGGGTTACAAGGGGATGAAAAGGATAGTGGTTATCATTCCTAAGCTTTATAGAGTTGTGCCACTATTTGGAATGACAACCTTTAGGCTCTGTCTCCATTCTACATTGCTATGGATTTATGTATCCACACCTCAATTTCCATTGTTTATTGCCATCCTGTTCTTACACACTCCCACTCCTGACTTCCTAAACATTCATCTTCCTAGCTGAAGACTTTTGTCCAGTATAAAGAGGGCTTGAAAGGCTTTTCATTAAAAGACAACTGCAATTCAAGTTTCCTATAGAAGCCCTGTCAAGGCTTAGGTAGCAAATACTGTAGCAAAGCTTGTGATATTGATAGCTCTCTCTTCCAAAGTCCTTCATTTTGAAGGTTCACTATGTTTGCACAGGCATAAAAAACCTCCACCTAAAGGGAAACTGGAAAGATTGCACTTGAATTCTGCAGTGTGAGGAGACTGGTGCAGCTGCTCCATGGAGGCTGTTGTGATGTCAGACCTGTGCCCCTTTCAGCCTTGATACCTGAGTGTGTGCACTGTCTAGTGTGCTGCTTCTCCTTCAGTTGTCTCGCACTGCAGACAGGCTTCAGAATTTGTAGACAAATTGAGACTTCTACAAAGCTTTTTGTAGGAAGATATTTCTAAGTTGGAATTCTGAAAACCTTTCTTTCTGCAACAAAATCGTACAGAGCAGAAGAGAGTAGCAAGTGGGATTTATGTTTCTCACCTCCTTCTAAGTATATAACCAAAAGGAGCTTACAAACAGTTTTTGTTCTATAAATGGCAACAAAATGGAACTTTTCTTCTGGCACTAAAACTTTAGTGAAAGAAAAGTGATAAGGAGAAATGTTCTAGTCAGATCTTAGGTTTTCTCCTACAATTTTATAGGTTTAATTTCTAACAAAGAATAATTTCCTTGTTTATAGTGATATTTTATTTGATGGGCCATGCATACAGCTGAAAATTAGACTTCTTGTTTAACTACATGTTTTAAATAGGTTTACCTAGGTTATGAGGTTCAAGCTTTATGTTTTCAGCTAAGAATAGGTAGAATCAAACCATACTGGAGTTTCAAATTTACTTACATCTAATACTCTTCACATCCACATCAGCATTTTACTGAATGGGAAGATTACTAGTGTACATGGCCTGGGGGCCAGGGCTGGCTTGTCAGCTCTGTTCTGAGAACAGCAACTCCTAAGTCATACAAAAGTACTTTTTTTTAAATTCCAAAATGGTCTTGTAGGTAACACACAGCTGGCACTGCAGATCATCAAGAGAAACCAGCTTCTCCCTTCTGTGAAGACACTCTCCGACATGCGGAAGAAGCCAGTGTTCCAGCCAGTCCACTCAATCCAGCCCATCCAGATGCCAGCTTTCACTACTGTTCAAAGGAAGTGAGGTCATGCTCTGCCTGGCTGCTGCCCTGCCCTTGGGGGCTTGGGATTTTGTATATTTTTTTTAACCTAGGACACCTGCATACCCCAATTGCTGGAGTGTGTTCATTTATGTAAATTTTTAATAAAACATGTAAACAAAAAGACATACTTGGAGGTGTTTGTGAAGGTAATTTCATAAAGGAAAAGAGGTTGGTATCTGTTTTCAATGTGTATATGTATAGGCATATACAGGCACATTGCCTTAGTTAGAAGGAAAAGAGCTTTATGCCTGCAGGTCATAACCAAAGGTGAAAGATTCCCCCACCTCATCTGAGCTTCCTCTGGTTAGCAGTGTCTTCCAAATCTTTCTCTCCTGCTGCTGGCCTGAAAGGATCTAAAAGGTTGTGATATAAGGACATCACTCTGCAGCACCCTGCTATGCAACAGTGACAATTGTCATTAATTCATATATATAATTAATACAATTCACACTTGCACAAAAGCCAGTCTCTGCTGCTTTTGATTTTGTTTTAGCAAGAAGGCAGAAGTCTGAGTGAGAAGGGGAGTGAGCTGGGGCTGTTGCTCACAGCCAGTGAGCATCTGTTGTCTTGCAATAGGCTGCACCAGAGCAGGGACAGGGGAGGTTGGGATGTGGCCCTTGCTCCTGCTTGTAGGCTGCAGTGCTGCTCTACCATAAACTAGAGGGGATCTGCCTGTTTCTCCTGCCTCAAGAGTTCAATGCAAGGGCCAAGAGCCCAGGCAGCAAAAACAAAACCCACACCAAAAAAAACAAACACTCTGGTTATTTTTTTTGTGAGCACAGGAGAAGAGATGAGCCATCACCCTTTCCTCACTTCTCCTTCCTGGCTGTTTCATGCCATTTCAGCTGTTCTGAGCCTGCTCTGATACCCTCTAGTCTCAGCTCCCGTCCTTGTGTCCCTAGCATTGTACTTTGCCTCCAGTCACGAGGAAGGTCACACTTCTAAGTGGCCACCTGGGATGCAGACCTTACAGATTCTGCTCTCAGTAACTTGAGCATTAGGTAGCCCAGATGCAGAGAAAAGAGGACAGGCCTGGTTTTGCACTCAGGAATATGAACAAACAAGTCACAACTAATAGAAGAACTTATTAGCCCATGTGCAAGGTGTAGAATGAGTCTGTGTCCCCTCAACTAACCATCATGAAACAGGACAACAGAAAGCTTGAGACCTGCTTCTAAGCCTCATCTGTTAGGTAGCTGGTTTCTCTGCTTTTCAAAGCTTTCAGCATAATGAGCAAGCAGATGACTTTTCCAGTATTTTCTCTAGCGCTCTAGGAGGCAGCTTCAGCTCTGTTTTCAGGTAGGGGCAAACTGTGTAGGAATTAAAACTCCACAGTAAAAAAAAAATGCATGGAGATCACCTTTCTGAACGACAAGAGAAAGGGAGTTGATACATCAGTCAAGTCAAAGTAGATTGATTAAATACAAAAAGGTTAAGGATGCTCGCTGTGTGGTCCTGGGCTCTGAATAGAGAAGATTCTTCTCTGCCCTTCCCCACCCCCCCAGGAATGTGGGGCATTCACATGCAAAAGATGCAAACGGGCCGGGCCCGGCTCCCCCCAGCGCTCCCCTCGAGGCTCCATGAAGGATGCAGTTGTTATTCCCAGATACAGCACATCTTATCGCAGCTCCATTTGCATGTGCGCAGGAGCTTTCAGCTCTGCCCTCACACTGGCTGTTCTCCTGCCTTCAGGCACCCACAGCGACCACGGCAGCTCGGGTTGGTTTTCTGCCCTGCCTATGTCGCTGCTACTTGAAGAGAGGGATGGTGGTGGCGACTTTCAGCTCCTGGGTTGCATAGTTAACAGAAGGGGAAAGTATCAAAACGCCTCTACTAAGAGGGCAGTCAAGGACCTATCTCCATCTGTGGCAGTGCACCCGAGCCCACTGTAAAACGAAGCATTGAAGGCAAGTACAACTGCAAGCTGTCCTGTTGTAAAAGCAGTAGGAGCAGGATAGTAAACTGGAAGAATCATTATGTTTGGTTTGGGTCACTTCTGAAGGAAAGGCTGTCCCGCTCCTGCTCTCCCCACTTGCCTCCACAATCCCAACCAGCCTGGATCTCACCCCCACTACAGGCATGCACTGGCTACTATCTCCACAACAGGAGAAAGGGATCTGTGGTTGCTCTCCCCTTGCCCCCAAGCACCACAGGTGCAGGTAACCCCTGCTGCCTACCTGCCAGCATGCTGACGTGGATTCAGACCTAAAGGTTTTGACAACAAAGGAGATGACAGAGAGAGAAGGATGTGCCATGGTACAAGAACTGTACAACACTTGCTCAGCAGCATCCAGAGCCATCTCATGGTGCTCAATGAACTTCCAGGTGCTAGTCTTCCTCAGAGAGAGAGCACAGGGAAAGCCAAGATAATACTGATGAATACCACACAAATCTGGCCAAGTTAGTCTTCAAACTCACCTGAGCAGCCTTTCCCCCTCCTTCACAGCATCATCTTTTCAACTGGAACTAATATCTGTGCTGACATTATTGCCAGCTGCTCCAGCAGCAAGAAAGAATGATGGTCTGGTCAAGGATTTTCATGGATAGAGCAGAGCACAGCACAGTGCTGGGCAGTCAGTTTTACACAGCTCAGGCTTTGGAGTTCCAGCACAATTAGCACTTTTGGAAACTAGAAGCCACCTCCATTTCTGCTCATGCTGGTAATTCAGTTACCAGCCTTAATTCTCAAAATGTACTTGAAGAGCATCTTCCCCTGCTCACCATTTATTTTCAAAACCTTTTCCAAAGTAGTAAGGGAAAAGAGCACCTTTTCTGCTTACCTGACTTACACTGCTGGTGTTCTGGAGCCTTTGCTTCACCACTCAGAAAAAGCATTACTTTCACAGTTGCTAAGGCAAAGAAATAGAAACCTAGAAATGGATCTAGTAAGGTTAAAACCAGGAACTTCCTGGTAAAATACTGGAAAGCTGCAGGGAGTACAGTGGTGAGTCCAGTATCAAACTTTCTTCCCCCCAGTCAAGACAGTGAGGCCGTTTTTTAATGGAGCAGCCAGTGAGGAGTGCAACGCTGCACCAAAACCACTCCCTAAAAACAAACAAATGCAACACACCAAAAAACCACAAAAGAAACACTTCCCTCTGTAGCACTCCAACATTTCTTCTCTACCCTTTCAAAGCAGGTGCCCCTGGTTAAAGGTTTCAGTAGCCACCATCTGGAGGCAGCCGGGTTCAAACTTGGGCAAATGCTTTTTCTTTTTTTGGATCCTGACAGAAGAGAAGCCTTTGGCTGGGCAATACAGACACACATACACAGATTTGCCATGAAAAAACCTCACATTTATTTGATTAAACAAAAATAAAATAAACTGCATAGGAACATTTTTAAAGTCCAGAGAGACACTGACTTTGTTTTAAGGCTGCCAGTAGCTGATACATCATCTCCTTGCTACATCCTTCAGCCTTCCCTATGGACCACAAAGATACATTCAGAAGCCTCCATTAAACACAAGGGTTCAAACATTTTGCTCACTTCTTCTACGTTAAAGTTTGCACATAACCTGTCATGCTTTCTTCTCTGCACTACTCAGTATCTGACATCTAAAAGCGTCATCTTTTTTTTTTTTTTGGTCAAGTAGAAATGTGATGCCCTTTTTGGAGCATGAAAGTTCTTGTCACAGCCTGTTTCATTAATTAGATACAAAAAGCTCTGAGCAGCTCATTAAAAGCAGAGCACTGTCTGTCCTGCTGAGACATTTTTATTATTATGAGGAGAGCAACATGATTAATCACCAAAGTAGAAAAGAAACAACTGCATTAGACAATAAACCCTACAAAAAACAAATTACTCAAGATGTCTCATGTCCAAGGACTGACAATCTTTCTGAATCCTGATGCAAACCTGCACCGAGGCAACACTACTTGAACTTAATTACCAGTGTGAGACAGGCCCATACATCTACAGTCAAATACACTAGAAAAATGCACATTTGTGAAATTGGTTTAATGTGGATGGCCTCCATTTTGTTCAAGGCTTCCAATTTCTACTTGACTTAAATTGCAGGCATGTGTTCCAACACCCTCGCTACTCCCATGAATCGTGCACAAACCAAGCAGCGCATGACAGGTAATGCACAGTACAAACAAGAGTCACATACAGTAAGAAACCCCCACCAACTCAGGTGACTAAGCACACCTTACAAACTAGTTAAAACCTTTTTAATCATCTTAGATAAGAAACTAAAAACAAAACCCAGAAAGACCTCTCTCCCTCTGAAGGAAAAACTACGTTGTCTGAAAAGTACTCTACAAACCTATAAAAGGACTTTTTTTTTAAACTAGTCTGGTAGTTCAAAAGGAAGTTACTTAACTACAGCACTACACAGACACTTAACATTCAGTCAGTAAGGCTCTATGAAAAGAGCTTTAAAAATTATCTACCTGAGTTTGTAAGTTGATACAATCATTAATAGAAGGTCTAAGACCATGCAGGTACACAAAGATTTTTAGAACCATTATTGGTTAAACAATGATGGAAAAAGATGCCAGTCTGGCTCGCTAACCCGTAAGATCACTTAGAGACATCAATGTACATTTTCCACCATAACATTTACCAAAACCAACACAGCCTATGGTTACTAGGGGTCGCCTGTACCCACTTGTATCACCCCCTAATATGAGCAGGGGAGGAAAAAAGATTTTGCAAATATAGTATCTGAAAATGTGCTTCTGCAACTTTACTCCACAGTTAAAACAAGGGGCACGTTGCATGTCACGATCAAAGTTGCATACAACTCCAACATACTGGTTTTAAACTGCCTCTCCTGAGAATGAAACTAAACTGCCTTCCAGGAATAGGAACTTGGTCGCTTTGTCATGGTGGAAAAAATTCCATTGAGTCATGAAAGCTACTAGTACAATCACCAAGTCAAAAAAATATCAGGATCTTATTCCCTTCAAGCATTTGGTATAGCATTGTGTTTACAGCAATCATAACATCAGTCTTTCCAAACGGGACATATCTGTAGGCATGCATAAAAGTTTTTCTCTTGTAGAGAGAAGACCTAAAGGTCTTATGGACATAAGAACACTGCAAATGAACATTAAGGATGTCATGTCAACTAGTAGTGTCATAATACTGAAAAAAAGGTTACATTTCCATACT